TCCTTCCCAATGCAGAGACCATAGATAGCTCAAAATATGATTACAATATCTTGCATCTAACAACAGAACTAGTTCTAATATCAAAATACAATTAGGTACCCAATAACAATAAAAGTCACTGACATCAAACAATTAACTATGGATGTTTCGGGCACAGATAAGTTGAGGAACTCTTCTTCATTTTGAATAAACCTACACAGGAGGATTAATATCTCCATAGCACTCCAGAAATTTTTATAAACATCATAAATCTCTTTCATGATTTATCTAACAACAAGGAATGTGAAAATTGTTCCGATCAAATGAAAACCTACTGAATAGGTATTATCACTTGGAATAAATGAGAAAATAGTTCAAGATCAGCAGATTAGTATTAGGAAGCTAACTGGAAGAAACACATGAATGACAAACCTATTCCAGTTTCATCTGCACAGACCATCATGCCTTACATTAGCTCTTTTAAGAACAGGTATCCAACTTGCTAGAGAGGGTTTACACTACTCAGCACCTCTAGGGAATTTAAGCCTGACCACTAAGCATTTAGCAGCGAACAAGCATAAACATGCTTTTAAATTTGTTTTTAGTATTGATTTTATTTGCCTTTTAATACAATATTTATTTAACTTTATTTGAATATTGTATACTTACTGTTTTTAATACTTACTGTTTTTAGCTTTTAAATTTTGTCTTTTTAAGGAGAACGGCAGATATAAATATTTTAAATAAAATAAAATGTTTATTATCAAAGACATGCCTTAGTCAAAGCTGGCAGGACCTGAACCAGCTTTCAAAATTAGTTCAGCTTACATGGTCTCTTTTTAAACAGAACTGTGCAATCATTAGTTTCCCCTTAGTTCTGACCAATATGTGGGCACAGTGTAGGTCAAGGGGCTTCTGCACACCTCAATTGTTCAGTATTGAGATTTGTGACTACCCTGCAGAATTCAGCCTCTGGACTGTACAAAGTAGGAATGTGAAGAATTCCCACAAAATTATCCATTTCCAGGATGTTTTGGCACACAGTAAAAAAATTATTGACCCCAGCATAAGAATGTGACAAAGTTTACTTCCCTCCCCTCCATAAAGTTTCCACAAAATGTCTATAGGCAAAGTAGGTGTCTCTTCTTCTCAAAAAGAAAAAGTACCATGGACTGGTTGTTTGATTAGAAAGATGCAAATATGATACTTCTATTTTCTGCAAGTCTATGAAACAAGGCAGCAACTATCATAATTTTACATAAATGCACAGTTTGGGCAAAAGCTTTCATTGACACAGTCAGAAATGATCTTGCTGACTCAGACAAGGCTAGGAGAAAAAAAAAGTCTTATATCCCCAGTGCAAAGATTCTGTGTTTGTCTAGTCAACAAAGCAAGGCTTTCTACCTGGTGTGTAACAGATTCCATTCTGGTGTTTCTATGTTAAATCACAGAGTTTTACAGTAGCTATGTTTTTAAGTACTGTTCTCAAGGCCTGGGATAGTGAATTCAGTTGGTATGATCGAAATGGCACACAAAAAAGGAAAGATATAATATACTGTCCACAGGGAAAAAAAACCCAAAGTTCATATGTACAGTATAACTGAGGGGAGGAGAAGGTTTCAGATGGAACAGGAGGAAGAAGAGTGGAAAGACATGCAAATAAGGTGATTCAGCACAAGATGCAGCACAGAAGTATGGCCCGAAGGGCCAAATTTTTGAAATGAAGGCTGTACCCAGCCCAGGAAAGTTGGGGAAAATGTTAAAAAGTCGAAACTGGAAGCTACTGAATGCTTACGACTGGTTTTTGATACATAAGGTTTATTAAAGGGAAGGGTTTGATTTAGATCCCTAATGCTTATATAAAAGGGCCATTCTGGGTGTTATCCAGGGCAAATAAAAATACTTTGTTTTAAAGACTGTGAATATATTGTAAGGGAGGTCATGGTTCCTAATAAAATTATTACTAGGTTGTCCAGTGGCCTGAATGCATGCACTGGAGAGCTTATTTCCTTCTCAAATGTTTTAGAATGAATAGTACTGCGTTTTAAGTAGGGAAAACAATTTGATATGGCATCTCTGTTTTGAAAAGGGCTCCGAAGCAGAAAAGGATGGTTTCTTCTTTTAGGTGAGGAAAGGTTGCTTACTATTTTCTCTACATTGTTCATGTTCTCTCCTGATTTCAGAATGTTATTGTGGCTGGATAATGACATTGCTGCTTTGAAAATGCTGATGGTTATGGAAACTGTTGCTATGTAATGGCCTGAATGAATCTAAAACGCTTGGCAAATTCCTTTTCCAGCATGCTTTGTGATTTCCTGGCTCATCTGAAACCTCCTGCTGTTTAATCCACCCAAAGTCCACGATCTTCTTTGATTACTACAAATGTAACCCTCTTATACTTAACAGATTTGTCAGTCTTATGTCCAAATACATAAAGTACGATGATCCTGGAAGTTGAACCAAAAAAAAAAAAAAAAAAAAAAACCCCTTCAAATTTATTCAGAAGCAGGGGGAGAGCATCTGGTTACTTTACCAATCTTGACTGTATTTGACCTTGGGAAAAAGAGACAATAAACTGCTTACAGAAACAACGGTGGGAGATAGTCCTATAAAATATATCCAACCATTATGCATAAAGGCATATATAGCAGCAAGAGAAATTACATGTGATGTACGTGAAGCTATATAGTGAAAATAAATATGTGAAACTGATTTGTATATCTCACTGTTACCACCCTACATATTTTGGATCATTGACCATTTTGCATTTTCTGGAGACTGTGGGCTACCTTCTTTCTTTCTTTTAACCTTTTATTGAATTAATACACTACAAAACACACAACTTACATCATCAAAAGCCCAACAAACAAAAGAAAAAAACCCTCCTACAAAGCTAAACCCTCCCCCTTTCGGAGTCAGAGACTCCAGCTTCATTTGACTCTCTATCTTCTCCTGCCTTCAACACACACCCTACCCCACCCATGAAATTAAAAATCATTAGCTGGATCCAGAATAGCCCTTAATAGAATTTCATATGCAGAAATTCTACAAAATGCTGAGCTGTTCCGCTTTTGCTGCCTGTGAAAAATTTATGCCAAGGCAGAAATGATCCAGAAATGATTACTCATTATGCTTTCATTTGGATAGATTCTTTCTTTCTTTTTGTTCCCTTACATGTGCTGAGATGCATTTGGGAAGAGATGAGAATACTGGGGGGCTGAATCTTCAGGACCGTGAGGAGCTGCATGGCTTAGAACCATCAAGACTGGCCGATGAGGATACATCTTCTTTGAGATTCTGAAGAAGCTAATACTGTCATTGGTGATCAAGTCAGTCAGATAATCCTGAAAGAAGGAGGAGGAGAATTAGGAGAGTTAGCAAAACAGCATCAAATGCTACCCAGAAGCTTAGTGGGGAACTGATGGATGGATGGAGGTACACAAAAACACACAAGCAGATGAATGAATAGGGAACAAGACTGACATTTTAATGCTTGCAAATGTAGAAGACTGATTTGTCTTTAAATGTATTTTCTTGCACCATTTCACAGGGGTGCAAGATTGCAATCAGGGATTTGTTTTATCCTCTAGAACACATTCATTAAGTGGAAATTATGATAGCATGTTCCTTCCCCATCCCTTTGTTCTGGGTTTCCCATCCTGTCTTGTCTGCTACAGGACAAACTAGGAAATCTGAGTATGGAAACAGGGGGCAGAGGGAGGTAAATGATACAGAATAGAAATCAACGAGAAAAGCTGCAACTAGTGCATAAGGAGGTCGAAAGAGTCACCTAGGAGGAGATGAAGACATTGAGACATTTATTTATTTATTTGTTTGTTTGTTTGTTTGTTTATTTATTTATTTATTTATTTATTTATTTATTTATTTATTTATTTATTTATTTATTTATTTATTTATTTATTTATTTATTTATTTATTTATTTATTTATTTATTTATTTATTTATTTATTTATTTATTTATTTATTTATTTATTTATTTATTTATTTATTTATTTATTTATTTATTTATTTATTTATTTATTTATTTATTTATTTATTTAATTTATATGCCGCCCACACTTCCCAAAGGTCTCTGGGCGGCTTACAGCATTTAAAATACAATAAAGTTATGTAGCAATTAAAATACAATTAATATATATATAAAATTGCCATCGGAATTGACATGGGGTCCATCTGTAAAATTGAAAATGATAATTGGCAGCTGTTTATTTATTTACTTTTAGAGGCCCAAATTGAGATAGTTCCCAACCATTCTTTAAAAAAGTATCCCATTTCTGTTACTCATTCAATGATTACTCTCATTACTCATTGAAATATGATCTGCTACCATTACTCACAATCCCCGTGTTGAAAGTAACTTGCACATTCTTTGTTGCACTGTTTGTTACCTGTTTTGTTAATTACTGTTTTTTGGGGGGAGGGGGGAATGAGAATTAATAAGAGAATGGTACAAAGCTTGAAAATTCTCTAGCAAACCTCTAGAGTGATCAAATGATGATGAAATATTAACAATCATGATGATGACTATGACTATAACAACAATGACAATGATGATGATGATGCCTAATAGAAACTGCAAATGAATATGAACAGGAATGTCAACTGCATTTTGATTACATGTCATTTGACATGCAGGCATCTGAGAGGACAAAAAAAAAGGGCTGTGTGTCAGTTATTCAAAATAATGCCAATGGGTTGCTAATTGAATCAGTAGTTAAGATATTTTTTGGAAACATAAATACAAACATTAGTATCAGACTGAAGGATCATTAAGATAACCTCTCAGAATTGATGTTAGGCAAAGATGGGAAGAGTTCCACGTGTTCACATTACTTCAGCAATTGAAGCAAGATGCAAACTGTGATATTCATATTATTCTACATTGTAATTTAACAAAACATAATGTTAATAATTGAGAATGCCATAATTCAATACTGGAGTGTATTTGCTGCATGCAAAGGTTCAATCCTGTTCCAGGTTCAATCCCTGGCAATTCAAAATATGTCTGGAAAAGGTCTGTCTGATCTCTTGGACAGCCCCTGCCAGTAAATGCAGACTATATTACAACACCAAGGCATTTGTTTACTAATTAATCAAGACATTGTTGTGCTAGTCAACAATAAAACTTTCTAACGAGTTTATTCAGACCAGGGGGAAGTGAAACCAATATGGAGGATGTATCAGGTATTCCCTACCAACTCTCCTCAGGCTGAAGAAGCTACTTGGATGAGTAGTGAAACATGAAAGAACAAGAAAGAAGTCCAGTTGTCATGACTCAACTTCCAGATAATTGTATTGGTTATCTCTCAATGGTACAAAAAGGATAACAAAATGGTCATCCCAATTCCAAGGGAGGGTGTGGCAGAACAGTAGAAGACACTCTCTCATTCTCTAGCATATACCATGGTGGAGAAGCATGAAATAGGTACTTTGCAATGTGTAGAGAAACACTCTTCGTGGGATCTTGTAGGGCCTTTCACCAGGATCAACCACCTTCAGGAGCAGAGAGTAGTTTGAGTACTTCCTACCATATAACCAAGAGAACCACTGGAACTGAGACTGCTTCTGTTTGCAGAGCCTCGTGGTGGGTTCCATTTCTAACAACATGTTCATCCCCGGGTATATAGATTAAAAGTGGTACAGTGGTGCCTCGCAAGGTGAATTTAATTCGTTCTGCGGTTAATGTTGTCTTTTGAAAAATTTGTCTTGCGAAACAAGTTTTCCCATTGAAATCTAATTAATGCGTTCCAATGGGCAAAAAAAGTCAGAACAAAGTCACCTTTGGTTTATAAAAGGTTTATTAAGTGCTCTTTAACGCCATAGATATTGTGCAGATGATTTTTTCAGTCAAAAAACTTTAACTTTTTAAACATCATAGAAAAACATTTAAACATCAGCAAACATGAGGCAGGAACAAAAAACGGAAAACATTCATCTTGCGAAGCACTGCCATAGGAACATTTGTCTTGCGAGTCATCAACTCCATTGACAAAACCATTTGTCTTGCGAGTTTTTTGTCCTGCGAGGCATTAGTCTTGCGAGGCACCACTGCAGTCTAATCTCTTTTGCTATATTCTTTGCTACTTTTTATGAAAATGGATGGTAAAGGTCATTCTTTCATTCATCTATTATTTCCACTTCATCAGTATTATCACTCCCTGGGCAGTTCACAACATACAATAAAATCTTACAATAAAACTTAATGTAATCAATACAATAAAAATACAACATGTACAATAACTGTGTAAAAACAATGACCCTATTCTTAAATAGAACTACAGAAATTAAAACCCATTTGAGCATCTCAGGTCAATATTCATTAGTAGAAAGCAGTTTTACATAATTCTGTTTAAATTAGCTTCCTAAAAACTGAGGGGGGTGCCATCTGGCAAACCTCTGTAGGAATCTTGTTTAAGAGGGAAGGGCCACAACCAAGAAATCTCAGTTCCTAGTTTCGGCTTTTTTGGCCTCCTTGGGTGTCAGGAGTGGGTGGGTCTTGATGGATACAGACTATGTAATTAAATATCAGATAACATTGTAATTAAGAGAAACATACAGCATGAGCCCCTGAATTTCCTTTCATAACACTGCAACCAAATGTTAATTCCGTTTCTGTATTAAGGACAGATTTAAGAATTTCACAAAATCACCATACCACAACCATGGAAACAGTTATCTTGCAATAAAGAGAATTAATCACATGTATGCAGCAGATCAAGGTATCTCTGTGTTAATTAAAGTACAGAACTGCAGTCAACGGAATGTGAGTCAAGCTACAAACCAATCTATTTCCCAGCTGGTAGGCCATACTGCGGTGTTTACCGTCCCAGGAACTGCCTGCTGTTGCTAAATAAATTTTTAAATTATATATCCTTCTAGGAGTGAAAACGATAATGTACAGTCAAAAGGATCAGGTTTATAGACTGATGTTTATACTATCCTCAGTGGCTTTCAAATATGAAACAAATACTTTTAATAGGACAGACCTCATAAAACAATTGCTTTGTTCTCATGATTGTGGCCATGGGAGGGAGGGAATTAAAATAAATCAATAGGACCTACCCTAGAGTAGTCAAATCCATGCTTTTCCTTCACTCCATTCCTGCAGAGTGTGTAGTTGTAAAATCGAGAGTTCTTTAGTAATCCAACCCATTCCTTCCAGCCAGGAGGCACATAGGAACCATTATATTCATTTAGATATTTCCCAAAGAAAGCTGGAAACAGGAAGAGGAGAAATTGTAAGGAGATAGCAATGTATGAATTTCTCTGAGACAATCATAGTATTGAGGTCTTCATCTCTTACATAAAGTGTTTGTACAAAATATTTTTGCAATACAACCTTTGCGCATGAAACAGAACTCAAAATTATCTCAGCGCATTAGGCAATATAATGAATGCATACAGATCTTGCACAGAACATTTGTAACAAGGCTAGTAAATAGCCAATGACCAGTCACTAGCAATGATGACTAAAGATAACATTCAAACTTTCAGAAAGAAAAATGACTAAAGATAACATTCAGACTTTCAGAAAGAAAAGCTCTCAGTATCAGGTTTGTAGAAAGTGTGAGCCTCTGAACATTAGGCTGCAACACATCTCCCTCTAGCCAGCACAGGCAAATGTGGGGGAAACTCCAGTAACATTGGTGGGAAGCACATGCTATCCATTCCTGCTCTACCAAAAAAAGAAAAAAGAAAAAAAGCCCTTCTCTCTAGCTCTGCATGCCCAGTCTTCATAAAGCCATACTTTATGTCTTGTAGCATAAAGAGGAAAAAAACAAAAACAAAATGAAACATTTCAAAGCAAAGCAGTGCATCTAACCTAATAAAAATATATACAGTACACTGAAAGATAAGCCAAGATTTGAGGTTTTATAAAGTTAGGTGTAGCCCGAAAAACCCACAACAACACAACCATTAGATGTAGTAAGTTTATGTAGCTACATAGCAGCGAACTGATTTCCAAATTCATTTACAACAAGAGGGTATATGCTTGCAACTTTCAGATCTGTCATTCTGACAATCACATTGCCTTCATCTATAACGAGGTCATCTGCCTCTTTCAGGCCAAAATAATATCTCCGTAAAAAGCCTGAAATTATAAAAAGAATCTGTTTACACATTTACATTTTTTCTCTCTCTCTCCTTCCAATAATTGAAACACTTTCTCAGATTGCTCTGCTTTCTCAGCCACTTTTAGTATTTAGCAGTATAAATACGATTCCCAATAAAGTGTGGGTGATTGAACAGGAGAGTAGATTTCTTCTCCTGGCCTTGAGTCTAGGGATAATGGAATGAGATATTGATTCTTGTCCACAATAATGTGCACAGCCAACTAAAGTGTGTGTGTGTGTGTGTGCGCGCGCGCGCGCGCACCACACTGTTATATTATATACAAACACAGCTGAATCTGGCACTGTTCTGACATCTTTTCCATGGAAAGCCAGGGCCTAGTTTCCCAGTCAGTACCTGTCAAGGCCAAAAGCTGGAGTAGCTATTGGGCATGGGAGATAGCATGCTTCTGCCAAAGGACAAAACAAAGAGATTTCTCAAAAACAATTTAGCCCAAGTCTTTGTGACATTCTCTGGTCTTTTTTTTTAAACCATGACACTCACTCTGCTTTCTGACTTTCTTCTCCATTTTTCTTTCAATATAAAAATATTCTATAGTTCTTTGGCTCCTTGGTCCTATCATTCTGTTCAACATCTTTCATCTTTGGTCACTTGAAAGACTAACTGCAGGAAATAATAACAGCGTTGCACAAAGACAAATATGCCAGGCTCCTTTAGTTCATTTCAAACTGATGGCTGCTGCCCATCACTATAGCTTGGGTCTCTGAGAAGGCTCACTGCTTTCTAAGCATCTCCAAAGTTCAATATACGAGTGAAAAGCTCCACGCCATGCCTTTATTCCCCAGACAGTTTGATGAGAGGGAGTAAGGATGTGGCACTGGAATTGCACTAGGTGCTCAGGGTGCTCAGCAAGCCTTGAAAATAGGGTGATCACATTCAAATTACACAGCCCCCAAGAGATAATGTATTCCCATGAAAGGGGGCACAATACACAGACATACATAAACTTTGCAGATGCCAATTCACAGGTGTACAGTGCAAATTAAGAAATGATTATAACTCAAAAAGAAATAAACAACGCTGTACTGGGGCTGTTTGCCTCATGTGCCTGATGAAATCTACTGTCCAGAGGCTAACTGCTGATGGACAGCTTTGAGACCCCTCTTCTTTCTTAGTTTTAAAATGTATGAAGTGAGCAACTTTTCAAGCACACTTTTGTGAAGCACAACACAACGGGTGAAATCCTGTTGCATAGTTGTACCTGTGCAATAGGAATGACAGTAGCAGAAGCAAACTGTTCCTGATTAAAGGCTTCCTTTTGCAATTTCACACTTGCACACAACAGGACAAAGTCACATGCACCGAAATCACCAAAGGGAGAGTTTAATCAGTAGCAACCTGCCACTACTGATGACATAATTCGTGTTGTGCAGACAGAACCCAAGGGCACTTACTCTGAAGTGCAACATGATGGTTCTTTTAACACCTCAACATATATACAATCTCAATTGACTTAAGACTAACCTTAAATCCATGAGTCGCTGGTACTGCAAATTAAGTTTGCAGACTTGCCTTGGCTTGCACCTTTTGGGATGTGTCTTCTCATTTGTTATGCTTGATGAATTGGTGCTATTATTCTACAGTATTTATGATTTATCAGCTTCCTTTAACTTTACAATAAGATAATTCTTTTTTAAAATCTCCACTTTGAAACGTCTATCTTGCATAAATAAAAAAATTGTAGTGTATTACCTCAGATGAACAATCTTTACATTATGTTTTGCTCCCTTTTGCACAACTTTACAGTGCCTTACTCAGTCATGAGGATTATTTTTTATTGCTTTGACAACAGAAAATTGACAAGGTTGCTTAATTCTTCACATCATAGGCCGAGTTGTGTAAAAAGTACCTCCAAGCACAGAATCATTTTTGTTCATTTACCAATAAACTTGGAAGAAGCACTAGTAAAAACATGGATTATAAGTAAATAGACAAAGGAAACAGTATAATTTTAATGAACATAATTAAGAAAAACCTCCCACTCATTGAGAGTCTGACTGGTTCTAACCACAAACATTCCAGTTTCCCAGAAGCTGCTTTCAGACACCAGGAACTGGGAGTTTCTACTGTGACATTTTAAAGTAGCTTCTTTCTGCAGAAAGTTTGGCAAGAAAAAAAAATGTCTTTACAAATCCTGTTTGACGTTCCCCTCTCAGAAATGGTATAACTCAGATTTGGAAACAGTGCTGTTCCCAATTTTCTTCAGTTTATCCTTGTTTCTGTAAATGCATGTTGAAGATATTTACTGATTATGGCCATTGTGAAATCAAAATATGGAATAGGTTTTCCTTTGGTTTCAGACAGTGGAAGTCAGGGGTAGTCTGAAGCAAGGGGCACATGGAGAATCCAGTTGGAAAGATCAAGGTAGTAAGAAATGCAACTGGGAAGTGTTTGGATATATTCATTCAGTTAATTAATTCCTGCTGAGAAATTAAAAGGTCCGGAGCCATCAATGGGCAAATAAGGTACACACAGCCAATGACACAATTTCAATAAACCAGGCCGCTTCACATAACCTTTTGTGTCCAGACCAGAGATGGCAACAGATGAAGTTCATTGAGTCTAGCCAGAGTGTTGTCCTTCTGGTTAGATTTTAATAACTTGCTGGGTGGCTACAATTCTCCCTAAATAAACAGTACTTACAAGGTTACCCAGCTTTGCCCTCAAGGCGGATGTGGGGGTGTGGATATGGTGTTACCTACCCTTCATTTAACATCAGTAGACACAGGGACATGAAGTTTTTCATTCTTACTATGAAATTCTGCTCCTGTCTACTTAGACGAACCTATCAAATTAAAAAAGAAGTTTGCTCCCAAGTTAAGTATAGGATTATAGAATTATTAAGCTTTTGGAGTTAATTATGATGGCCTTGTTTTATAGATGTTTCACTCAAAAAATGGAGATGGGCTGAGAGTCTTAAGACAAAATCTGGAAGCTGAAGTAGTACAGAAGATTGCATTCAATTTGGTGGGACCAAAGATACAAATCCAAGTTTGCCACTACTGGGTGGCTGCCACAGGGCCTTTAGTATGATTTCTAAAGTTTTAAAAAGTCTATGGCCAACAGTAGGCTAGTGATTAATTTTCACATTTCAAAATTCATTTCGGAAACAGTCTCTATAACAACACACCCAAGGAGATTCCAAGACAGCTATGATCGCCTGCCTCAAGTCGCTCCAGTGGTTTTCATTTCCACAAAAAACAGGGTTTTCGCAAAGCTAATGGGCCTTAATAGCTCTTTTAAGATGCAAGTCATCCCAAAAATCTTTCTGTTTCATAAGATGCAAGTCATCCCAAAAATCTTTCTGTTTCATAGAAATGCCCTGAGCACAGAAGTAACAGGTCATAAGTGATGATGTTACACATAATTTGCTTTGAAATAATAAGGGCATAAAAGTGTTATTTCTGCAAAACAATATAAAAATAATCCCAAACCCCTTGCAATTAGTACTACTACGGGGGGGCAAAAAAGATTCAGCAGGCCATTTTGAGAGTAAATTTTATGGTTTTTTAAGCCATTTCCTAGTCCCCCCCACACCACCACCAATTTCAAAGAGCACATTTTGCATATAGATGGAAGAACAACAGCAGAACTTGAAATATGACACATACATGGTAGTACCAAAGCATGTCCTCAGGCTTTTATAAATTCCTTATATTTTCTTTGGAGAATCTACATCACCCTCTCAGAAAAGCATTGACTCAATAATCTGATAAGTCTTTTTGATTTCTTTTCCTTTCTTTCTTTCTTTTCTTAAGCAACATGGCTTCTCAAAGATCAAAATCGAACATGTATTGTTGAAGCCTTTGACCAATGTGCAAAATACTTTGCTTTACTGTTTTGAAGGCTTCAAGATAAGAATCCTCCCCTTTTTAACAAATACCAAACAAACCACAACTTCTTCCCAGACGTGATAAATCAATACAAGAAAACATTATTTTTTAAATGCTATGCTGGCTCCTCTTTGGAACAATACATTTAACAGTGAGAGAGTGTGGAATGAAACCAGAGGGCCTTTTAGACAATTTAAAAATACACAGAGCAGGGATATATTCAGAAAAAAACAAAGAGAAATGGAAAA